CTGCCTCCAAGGTTCAAGCAATTCTCGTGCCTCAGCCTCCTGAGTAGCTGGGATTACAGGCATGCACCTCCACACCGGGCTAATTTTTTGTATTTTTAGTAGAGACAGTGTTTCAACACGTTGGCCAGGCTGGTACCAAACTCCTGACCTCAAGTGATCCACCTGGCTCAGTCTCCCAAAGTGTTGGGATTACAGGCATGAGCTACCGCACCCAGCCACAGATGTGTTTTAAACGTCTATAAAATGAACATTCTCAAACATTCTGGTCTCATCCAAACTTGCTACAGTTTGGATGTTTGTCCCCTCAAACCTCATGTTGAAATCGCATCCCCATTGTTAGAGGTGAGGCCCAATGGGAGGTGTTTGGGTCATGGGAGTGAATCCCTCATGGATGGCTTGGTGCAGTGAGTTCTTGCTCTGAGTTCTCTGCAGTGAGTTTACTTAGTGCAGTGAATTCTCACTCTGATTGTTAAAAAGAGAGTTGCCCCACCTCCTCCGCCTCTCCGCCCCAGCTTCCTCGCTGCCCATGTGATCTCTGCACACACCGGCTCTCCATCTTCCACCATGGAAGCAGCCTGAGGCTTTCCCCAGATGCCCAATTTTCCAGCCAGCAGAACTATAAGCTAAATAAACCTCTTTTATTTTAAATTACCTATCCTCAGATATTTCCTTATAGCAACACTAAATGGATAAAGACAGAACTCCTTTACACTCTTAAAAATTATTAAGGATGGAGCGATAGGAATTACAAAGCAGTACAGGAATCGGCTGGGAGTAATGAATACGCTCATTACCTTGATTGTGGTAATGGATAACAGTTAAATTATATGTGTCATCTTGGCTGGGCTGTGGTGCTGACTGTTTTGGTCAATCACTAATCTAGACGTTGCTGCAAAGGTACTTTGTAAATGTGATTAGCATATACAAACAATTGACTTTAAGTAAAGGAAGATTACCCTCAATGATGTAGGTGAGCCTCATCCAATCAGTTGAAGAATTCACAAACAAAAACTGAGATTTCCTAGAGAAGAAATTCTGCCTCAAGAATGTAACAGAGCTTCCTGAGACATTCTGCTGGCCTGCCCTATAGATCTCAAACACAAGACTACAACATCAACTCTTGTCTGGGTTTCCAGCCTCCTTGCCTTCCCTACAAATTTTGGACTTGCCAGCCCCCACCATGGCATGAGCCAATTTTTAAAAATAATCTCTTTTTTAAAATAATCACACACATATCCTATTGGTTCTGTTTCTCTGGAGAAATCTGGTAAAGATGAATTCACAAACATATACACATGCAAAAATTGGTACTGAGGAATTTTTTAATATATAATATTTAATGTTAATTTTTATCAATATTTATTATATTGTATATATATTTTTAAAAGAGCTATATTTTCCAAAACAAAAAATATTGGCCAGGCGTGGTGGCTCACACCGGTAATCTTAGCACTTTGGGAGGCTGAGGCGGGTGGATCACGAGGTCAGGAGTTCGAGACCAGCCTGGCCAACATAGTGAAACCCCATCTCTACTAAAAATGCAAAAATTAGCCAGGCATGGTGGCACATGCCTGTAGTTCCAGCTACTTGGGAGCCTGAGGTAGGAGAATCACTTGAACCTGGGAGGCAGAGGTTCTGGTGAGCCAAGATTGCACCACTGCACTCTAGCCTGGGCAACAGAGCAAGACTCCATCTCAAAAATATATATATATATTAAATATATATATATTTATTATATATTAAATTATATAGTATATATTATATATTAAATTAAAAATATTAAACAGTCCCACTCTTACCTATATATATATATATGTAAGTGTGTCCTATATGACTCCACAGGGAGAGGACTCATGGAAGCTTGTGCTTGATTTCCTCCAGTCTCCACCTTATGTAACTTTTTCCATGTTGATTTTGCTTTGTATTCTTCACTGTAATAAATATAGCTATGGGTACAACTGTATGCTGAGTTCTGTGAATCCTCCTAGCAAGTCATCAAATCTTACATACATACATACATATATATATATATGTGTGTGTATATATATATATGAGTGGGACTGTTTAATATTTTTACAAATCTCTTTAATATCTGGCTTAAAAGAAAACAGCTAGACTCATTTGCTTCTGCATTCAATGTGTTATAATATACTGTTTTGGATGAAGTATATGAAGAATATCTGGCCTCAATCAGATATATAGTTGGAAAGGGGAGGGGTATTATAATAGTCCTTTCAGCCTATTCTTTGATAACACACCAAAACTTGGCAAGTGGTGGTTTCTTATACAGTTACAATGTAGAATCTGGAACCATATCAACAAACTTTCAGACACTATTGAAATCGACTGATCTATCTTGATTTTCGAGAGGATCATTTAGCTACATATTATTTTGTCATATCACATACTGGTCTTCACAAAATATTGAGGCTGAATATGGTGGCTCACACCTACAATCCCAGCACTTTGGAAGGCCTAAGCGGGAGGATCACTTCAGGCCAGGAGTTCAAGACCAGCCCGGGAAACAAAGCGAGACTGTCTCTACAAAAAATAAAAATAAGGCCAGGCAGGTGCAATGGCTCACACCTGTAATTCCAGCACTTTGGGAGGACAAGGCGGGAAGATTGCTTGAGCTCAGGAATTTGAAATCAGCCTGGGCAACATAGTGAAACCCCATCTCTACAAAAAAACACAAAAATTAGCCAGGCATGGTGGCCTGTGTCTATAGTCCCAGCTACTCCAGAAGCTGAGGTGGGGGATCACTTGAGCCCCAGAGGGAGGCTGCAGTCAGCCGAGATCGCACCACTGCAGTCCAGCCTGGGTGACAGAGTGAGATCCTGTCTCAAAAAAATAAAAATAAAAATAAATTAGCCTAGCTTGGTGGTACATGCCTGTAACACCAGCTACTCGGGAGACTGAGGTAGAAGGACTGCTTGAGCCTGGGAGGTCGAGGCTGTAGTGAGAGGATTATGCCACTGCACTCTAGCCTAGGCAACAGAGCAAGACTCTACTCAAAAAAAAAAAAAAGAAGAAAAGAAAGTATCGATTCACAGTTATGCAGACCTTCCAAGTACTGACATATTTCTTCATATAATAAATATCAAGACAATCATCTTGATATCAATCAACAATCTAATCAGAAATGCCTTTCTTTACTTTTCCTTTCTTTTTTTATTTTTTTTCTTCAGACAGGGTCATACTCTGTCGCCCAGGCCAGATGGAGTTCAGTGCCACAATCTCGGCTCAAAGCAGCCTCCACCTCCTCAGCCTCCCAAGTAGCACCATGCCCAGCTAACTTTTGTGTCTTCTGTACAGACAGGGTTTTGCCACATTGCCAAGGCTGGTATTGAACTCCTGGGCTCAAGAGATCCTCCCACCTTGGCCTCCCAAAGTGCTGGGATTACAGGCATGAGCCACCACGCCCAGCCTTAGAAAGCTTTTAAATATTAGGGAAATGTCAAGCTCATGGTAAAATACAAATTTTCCAACATTCTAATTTTTGCTTAAGATCAAATTCTATTGTTGCTAACAAACAGTGTCAGTTGTTTTCCTTGAAATAACAAGTTCACATCATCCATTCTCAAGAAAACATCTTCCAAATACCCAAGTCTGGATAAACATAATTTTTCTGCAGTTATTTTTATATTTTTATAAAAATAAAAATGCTGTTCCACATAAAAAAGTAGTAGATTCACCTTGCAAATGACTTGCCTTAAGACAACCATCATACTTCAGTACATAGCAAGAATGCTACATGATACTTCCCATTTTGACAATATTCAAAAGACATGCACTAAATGGTCAAAATTTACTAAAATTAATCATTTTACTGCATCATAAAAAAACTTCAATTGAAACGGCATTTTTTTCTTTTTTGTTGCAAGCACATGGCAGAAAAGAATGCAATGATTACTATAATAGTTTGTGGCCACTGCCTTGTTTTGCACCAAGGCACCAGCAGTTTTAGCCTGCAGCTGCTTTTGTATCATCAGTACAAATGTTAACAGGGTGAAAGGGATAATAACGTCGTGGTATTATTGTAAAAGTTGTTTGGATCTCATAGACCACCTGCAAGGCTCTCAGAGCCCTCCAGAGGCCCACAACCAAACTTTGACAACTGCTTTTCTAAATAAATACTCTTAGGTGCTGAAATGATGAGAGGAACATCAATGGCTCCACAAGCTGCATAAGGTGAAGCAATTGTGATCAGAAATGAAGAGCCAAGGAACTTGCCTTGAAGATGCATTTGCATGGCAAGCTCATTTTTACTTATGTATGTCTATTAGAAGGGATAAATTTATATGTAACTGGGCAATAATCAGTGAAATTTTACATATCATTCTGATTATGGGAATAACTAAAGTTATTTCTGATTTATCATGGCTATTCTATATAATATGGGCTTATTATTAAGTGGCTTCAGAGTCAAATTTCTAAACTAATTTCTAAAAACTAAAGTAGTAATTAACATTTCTTCAATATAAAATTAAGCAGAAACAGTTGCTAATTTTTTTAATAGCCTACTTTCAGTGTAAACACTGCTAAACAATGAAAGGTAGTCATTTAACTTATAAGGCCATAAATTTTAATTCAAGTGAAATTTACCATGTATGATATTGGGACAAATGTTTATAATCGCTGTATCTTCTGATTTTAACATTTAGGCCATTGAAAGACACACTAGAGGAGAATAATACAGATGTTCAAAATGCAATATTCATTAACAACGCTTTTCAATTAAAAAAAAAATTGTCCCCTGATGGAATCATGAAGCGTGTCAATTATAAGCAAAACAAACCCCAAAAATGTTGATTTAGGAACTGTTTAAAATAAGACAGCATGTATACTAATAATACTTACAGAATAAACCATTTTTAAGCTATACTTAAATTCTAGTTATTAAGTCATATATACTGGTAACTCATGTTATAAAATTACATTTCAATTCATACAACTTAAATTTTATAAAACCAAAATGATAACAAGGAAGGTTGACTTACTCGATCTGCTAATCCTCCAGGAACTATAGTCCTCACAACCACGCCACTTGTTTTTCCTCCAACTATACCAAAACCTAGTCCGGAGCCATCATTAATGAGCTCAACCTCTTCAACATGGCCCCAGCAAACCTACAAATTAATGGCACATAAGAGTCACAGGACCAGTAATACTCACAGATTCTTAGTTTTCCAATACAATCATTACCAAGGTAACATTGCAACAAATTGAACATTCATACAATTAATCAAGGCAATGTTCTACAGGCTAAGACATACAGACAGAGATAATCATATGGTCCCTGACCGTAGGGATCTTATAATCCAGTAGAGAGAAAGTAAAACACAAATAATTAAAATACAAGGCAGAATATTGGATCATAAGGCACTAGCCCTAAGAGCACAGGAAACATTTCTCACTCCTCACTCTACACTGGATATCCAGCACAGTGCCCAGCACATAGTAGGGACCAGTAAATACGTGTCTGCTTGAAAGAGAATCACAAAATATTATAAAGACTTTTTACAGGGAAGGAAGAACATGAAGTCAAAACCAATGAAGAATTACAGAAAACTTCAAGGAAAAGGGGCATTTAAGTTGCACTACAAAGGAAGACATTCAAGCAAAAAGAAAATATAAGGGCAAAGCTAGGCCAGATAACACAATGGATGAAAGATATGGTCAAAAGGTTGGATTTAACTGGGTAATCAAGTGGAAGTAGTTAAAGGTTTTAGAAGAGAAATGACAGAACCAAAGAAGTGGTTTAAGAAAATTCATCTGGCAGCAATGAGAAGAATCTAAAATGGTGGTAGGACACAAAGTGGAGAGACTAATTTAGGAGACTCTTATGAGGGAGAGGAAAGGTAGGCCCCACTGAAGATATTAGCAATAGGACTATACAAATTAGACTAAAAGACATAAGCATTTCCCCTCTAACTAGCAGGTTTCTATGAGAAATGGGCATTACTTCACATAATCCAATTGCAGAACAATATCCTCCCTCTCAAGATCATTAGGGCATACTCATTACTTAGTCTGTCTTTCCTTTCCCTTTCCCTTTCCCTTTCCCTTTCCCTTCCCTACCCTTTCTTTCTTCTTTCTTTTTCTTTCTTTTTCTTTCTCTCTTTCTCTCTCTCTTTCTCTCTTTCTTTCTTTCTGTTAGAGACAAGGTCTCACTCTGTTACCCAGGTTAGAGTGCAATGCATGATGAGAGCTCATGTCAGCCTCGAACTCCTGGGATCATCCATCCTCTAACCTCAGCCTCCCAAATAGCTGGGACTACAGGCATGTACCACCATGCCCAGCTAATTTTTTAATCTTTGGTCGAGGTGGGATGTCTTTGTTTTTTGTTTTTTTGAGACAGAGCCTTACTCTGTCACCCAGGCAGGAGTGCAGTGGCATAATCTCAGCTCACTGCAACCTCCACCTGCCAGGTTCAAGCAATTCTCCTGCCTCAGCCTCCCGACTAGCTGGGATTACAAGCATGTGCCACCACACTCGGCTAATTTTTATATTTTTAGTAGAGACAGGGTTTCACCATGTGGACCAGGCTGGTCTCGAACTCCTGACCTCAGGTGATCCACCCACCTTGGCCTCCCAAAGTGCTGGGATTACAGGCATGAGTCACTGTGCCTGGCCATAGTGGTGGGGTTTGACTATGTTCCTCAGGCTGGTCTCAAACTCCTGGTCTCAAGCGACCCTCCTGCCTAGGCCTCCCAGGGTTCTGGGATTACAGGTGTGAACCATCATACCCATCCAGTTTTTCTATTATACTAAATTGCAAAGTTACTATGCAGTCTTAAATAAAAAGCATTATTGGAGGGCTGGGTGCAGTGACTAAAGCCTGTAATCCTAGCACTTTGGAAAGCCAAGGTGGGCGGATCACGAGGTCAGGAGTTTGAGACAAGCCTGGCCAACATGGTGAGACCCCATCTCTACTAAAAGTATGAAAAAGTTAGCTGGGTATGTTGGCATGTGCCTGTAATCCCCAGCTACTTAGGAAGCTGAGGCAGGAGAATCACTTGAACCGGGGAGGCAGAGGTTGCAGTGAGCCAAGATCACGCCACTGCACTCCAGCTTGGGTGACAAAGCAAGAATCCATCTCAAAAAAAAAAAAAAGGCAATATTGAGATTAATAAATTGATGTCTAGAACATCTACTATCTGGGAAACAAGAAAGTTTGCTAAAATAATATGCCTGACTTAATGTTAGCTGATAGCAGCCAATATTCACAGAACAGGTACTCAGCACGAGGCATGGTGCTTAGTGCCTCACATGCCTTCTCATTCAGCCTCACATCTCTGAGAACTAGACCTCATACCTTCAAAGGAAGGTATGAGGTAAAGGAATCTGCCTGGTGTGACACAACTAGGATTTGGGAGAAATGGACTTGAATGCATCCAAGCCTAACTCCAAAGCCCTTGTTCTTTATACGTTAAACAATTCCCCACTTTATTCACTGTATTTATTATGTAAATTCTGCTGTACAAATATTGCTGATTACAATAGGGAAAATGCCTATACATTAATTTTTGTTGTGACCTTGTATTGTACCGAGACAGTCTTATTTTTTCTTTTGTCCCAATGAATAAAAATTAAATAAGTCAGCTAGCACTTAGTGTTATAAGAAAATAAGATTTATTAGTTTGCATTCTGACAATGCAAGCCAAAATCTGTAAAATGTTAAAAAGCACATTCAAGGGTTCCCAAAAGAGATATATACTTTTATTCTTTAAAATTGTTCCATATGTGTCTTTACATGAAAAAAAGCCTGCTATAATTTTGCAATATCAATAATCTGGTCATAAATCCCCTCATAATTTTCAAAAATAATATTTTTCAAATAAATAATCAAATCTTACTTTAAACACTCAACAGTAAATCTCTAATAAAAACTCTCAATTAATTGGCTACATCACCAAGGAACACAAGACTCTCCATCACTAAATAAATTACACCTAATACTTCAATTTGGCCTCCATATTAAATAATAATCTTAAACAAAGAGACCCACAGGACATTGAAAAGAGAAAAAAAAAAACCTTCATGAAACTTCTTGTTTAAACATGTTAATGCTGCATTCAGATATATGATCATCTTTTTTAACTATGAAAAGTAAAATGGGCCAGGCACAGTGGCTCACGCCTGTAATCCTAGCACTTTGAGAGTCCGAGGCAGGTGGATCACCTGAGGGCAGGAGTTCAAGACCAGCCTGGCCAACATGATGAAACCCCATCTCTACTAAAAATACAAAAAAAAAAAAAATAACAGAGAGTGATGCTGAGCACCTGTAGTATGGGAGGTGCTGAGGCAGGAGAATCACTTGAATCCAGGAGGCGGAGGTTGCAGTGAGCCAACATCTGGCCACTGCACTATATAGCCTGGGGAACTAGAGCGAAACTCCATCTCAAAAAAAAAAAAGAAAAAAGAAAAGTAAAACGACACCTTCTAAATGTCTTTACACTTCTTACAATCAATGGCATTATTCAAAATTAGGTATTTTTTCAAATTTGCAACTCACTGTTTCAGGCAGAGTTGTATCAGTTAGGCTGCTAGAAGTACTGCTTTTTGTGTGGATTGGTTCCCTGGCCACAATCAGTTGCAAAGATCCAGTGGTTTGTTGTAATAATGCAATTGCTTGCTGATGGGAAACATTCTGATCCAATGGTGTGTGATTAACGGCCAATATTTGATCATTTTCCTTTAATCTTTGATCCCTTAATCAAGTAAGAAAAGAAATTTTTGTTTTAAGTGACCTAATAACCTGATTTTAAAAAATCTATTATTCAAGTTAAGCAGTTTGTTGCCTATGGTACTACTTCACTTAGTACATTAATCAAATAATTAGTTAATTATATAACAGAGCTCCTCAGACTGTTTTTCACAGAAGTTATTAACTAATTACCTAATTTGGTAGTGCATCCTTAAACACATGGACACATTTTAAAAGCCATCTGCCTAGAAAAATAAACAAAAACAATCTATAGGACCCCATCACCAAGGTTTTGCAAGTATGGACACTGCCTCCATTACTGCATAAACCCAAACCTCCTGAACCCCTTCCAATCTGATCTCTACCCATACCACACTGGGGTAACGATATTTTCAACTACACCAATAACCTCCTCTCACCCCATCTTCACTGTCTACTTGTCCAACATTTATCAACAGAGGCCAAACCCTCCTTGAAAATTCATAGAGATTACTTCCAAATTTATATCTAAGCATGGTCTCACTCTTATTTGCCCAGCTGGAGTGCAATGGCATAATCGCAGCTCACTGCAGCCTCAGCCTCCCAGGCTTGGGTGATTCTCCCACCTCAGTCTCACAAGTAGCTGAGACTACAGGTGTATACTACCACGCCCAGCTAATTTTTGTATTTTTTGTAGAGATGGGGTTTTGCCATGTTGCCCAGGCTTCTCTTGAACTCCCAAAGTGCTGGGATTACAGCCATGAGCCACTGAGCTTGGCCAATCTGAGCCCTTGTAATCTCTCCCAAGCACCAATCTCCCAACTGCTAACCAGGGTAAGAAGATTCTTTTTAAAAGAAATTAGCAAAATCTCTAAAGAAAAATAATATTTACTGAGCACTTATCATGAGTCAGGTACTATGTTGAGTGCTTTACATGCATTATCTCACATAATCCTCACAATTTCCTTTTAAAGTACTTAGTAAATTTTACATATTAAGGAATTGAAGTCTAGACAAGCCTAGCATCCTATCAAGAGTCAGATTCTGAAGCACAGTCTTGAACTTCTTATGCCAAAGTGCATCCTAAAGATAGCCTAGGACTTACTCTGTCCTGGTTTACTGTATTTGATTTTATTATCTCCCAAACACCACTGATACTCTTCCTCTTCCTGTTTACCCATTCTCACCACAATTCTTGAAGAAACACTGCGTTAGATGCCAGAATAAAGATGCAAAGTCATGGAAACTTATTAAGTTTGAAATCTGAGTTGGGGAGACTAGAATTAATCCCCCATGAATGGAGAATGTGAATTCAAAAATGTATTATCAACTAAGAATTTTATAATAATATACTGCCATTGTTGCTATTATTCTAACACGTGCATTGGAATAGCATATTATTAAATGAATAATAAACCAAAGACTGGAAATCAAACAGAGACAAAATAAAAGGCTTGCAAATACCCCTTAAAACATAAAAGCAAATACAACATGGAAGATAACATAGACTTGAGAGGCCTCTTAATTGACAATAAGCATAATAAATCAGGTAGAGTGACATGACCACCAAAATGTTGTTATAATCTTAAGAATAATAAACAATGTAATATGCAGAATGAGAACTTCAATATTCCTATCCTACTGATCAGTCCGTAGCTAAAATAGCATGTTGAACTGTAAGAGAGGGAAATAGTGTACTAGCTTTGCAGTCAGACGGTCTTGAATCACATCATGGCTTCAGCATTAACAGCTCTGTGACTATAGGTTGACCACTGAATCTCTGAATCTCAGCTTTCTCATCAATAGAACGGAATGATGATACCTATATAGTGGAACTGCTGCCATGGGGTACAGGAGGATATTCACGAAAGGCCTGACAAATGCACAGCAAAAACTAAAGCAAGTGTTAGCTGCTATTGTTACTGTTTTTATGACTAGTTTTTCACTCTCTTTATAATAGTCGTCAGAATTATCAGGAAACAATTAGCAAAGTGAAAATAAACAGCTTCCCCACCTGTCTGCTACACTCCCTGGCTGGACATCCTTCACGAAGATATCAACATTTCCTATATTTTGACTTCTGAGGGCCACCACACTGAATCCAAGGCCTCCAGATGAAGGCCGTTCTATATCTATATATTCAATTTGCCGGCCCTAATGAAGGAGCATTAAAAAAAAAAAGTCAGTGGTGTACATTTAACCAACATACTCTGTCTGCAGAACTGAAATTGCTTAGCATAAAAGCAGCTTCCCCTAAGAACCACATAAACTCAGCATTTCAGTAATAAATCATTTCTGGAAATCCTCTCACTTGATTATTTCAGTAGAGCATAAGAGAGAGTGTGTGCAGTGTTCTGCAACCTCAGGGAATCGGAGGTATTTTCACACTTCATTCACATTATGAGATGAATCCCAAGCTGGCTGGAAACTCCTGAGAAAAATGCCTTTTCCCATAGTAAATTCTGAATTACTTTTTTACACTGAACTTCCCTAAATTCTCTTGATGCAAAGTACATTTTTATTTTATTTTTTTCTTTGAGACAGGGTCTCGCTCTGTCGCCCAGGCTGGAGTGAAGTGGCATGATCTCAGCTCACTTCAACCTCTGTCTTCTGGGCTCAAGCAATCCTCCTGCCTCAGCCTCCTGGGTAGCTGGGACTATAGGCATGCACCACCATGCCTGGCAAATTTTTGTATTTTTTGTAGAGACGGGGTTTCGCCATGTTGCCCAGTCTGGTCTCAAACTCCTGAGCTCAAGCAATCCACCCGCCTCAGCCTCCCAAATTGCTGGGATTACAGATGTGAGCCACAGTGCCCAGTTGCAAAATATATTTTTAAATGAGGAAAATAAATTAGATATATCAAAAATGCCAGTATTTAGCCGAAGTCAGAACCAGCTGCATTTTACAGGGCTCTGTTTTTAATTCTATCGTTGATTAATTGATATTCTATTTATTAGGTAAATTCAAAAGACTCTGAAAAGGCCACCATTTACATGGGTTCTACCTGTAAGAACAGATAGAACTGTTCTTGTGACAGCCAGGTATTTTATTGCTTTAGTTAATAACTGCACTTATAACATGAGAACTTCATAAATGTAATCAACTAAAAACAGCACCACATAAAAATAATTGTTAGTCAGATGAAACGGATAGAAGTGGCCAGGCATGATGGCTCATGCCTGTAATCCCAGCAGTTCGGGAGGCCGAGGTGGGAGGATCACGAGGTCAGGAGATCGAGACTATCCTGGCCAACATGGTGAAACCCTGTCTCTACTAAAAATACAAAAATTAGCCAGGCGTGGTGACATGCACCTGTAGTCCCAGCTACTCAGGAGGCTGAGGCAGGAGAATTGCTTGAACCTGGGAGGCAAAGGTTGCAATGAGCCAAGATTGCGCCACTGCACTCCAGCCTGGGCAACAGCGCAGAAAAAAAGAAAGGGATAGAACTATAAAGTCAAAAACTAGGACCAGAATATTATTTAATTATCACATCTTGAACAGATTCTATTTAACACTGAAACTCGAGTTTATTTATTTATTTATTTTTTAAGAGATAGGTCTTGGCTCTGTCGCCCAGGCTGGAGTTCGGTCGTGTGATCATACCTCACTATAGCTTTGAATTTCTGGGCTCAAGTGATCCACCCACGTCAGCCTTCCAGGTACCTGGAGCTACAGGTGAGTGCCACCATGTCTGACTATATTCTTATTTTTATTTTTGTAGAGATTGGGGTCTCTCTATGTTACCCAGCCTGGTCTTGAACTCCTGGCTGCAAGCAATCCTCCTGCCTCTGCCTCCCAAAGATTACAGAAAAAAGCCACCACGCTCAAACCTCGTTTCATTTTTAATGGCACTTGAAGGTCGAGGCGAACATACATAAAACTAACATGTCCAAAATTTTAATTGTTTATTTAATTTTTAATAGGTATTAGGGGCTACAACTGGATTATCCTTCCAAATGTTTTCTAGATTTTCCAAATTATATTAGTTCTAATTTTCATTAATCATGGGTTTTTCTTTTTTTGTTGTTGTTTTTTTTTGAGACAGAGTCTTGCTCTGTCACCCAGGCTGGAGTACGGTGGCGCAATCTCAGCTCACTGCAACCTCCATCTCCCGGGTTCAAGCAATTCTCCTGCCTCAGCCTCCTGAGTATCTGGGATTACAGTTGCCCACCACCATGCCCAGCTAATTTTTCTATTTTTAGTAGAGACAGAGTTTTGCCATGTTGACCAGGCTGGTCTCAAACTCCTGACCTCCAGTGATCCGCCCGCCTCAGCCTCCCAAAATGATGCGATTACAGGTGGGAGCCGGTGCGCCTGGCCAAAAATCTTATTTTAACAAGAATAGAGATGCATTCAATTAGTCATTGTCGAAAAACTCTCCTTAGCAAGATCTTATCTCAAAAAAATAAATGTTAATTTTTTTTTTTTAAAAACTCTCCTTACCACACATGGATACCTTCCTTATGTAATTTTAAGCCAATAAATTTTCAACACACAGGTTAGAAAATGGTGTCAATTCCTCCTAACAATATAAAAATACAAGCAAGCAAAATACATACTAACACATCTTACAGCAAAAATAATGAGTATAAGTTCCTTTGTAAAACTAAAACAGGAGAAATGAAGCTAAATATTTCCATGAGAAGATACAACTTTACCTGAGCCATCTGTTGAATGACTGAGTTAAAGTCTTCATTTCCCAACTTCGGGGTCCAAGGAAATAACCCAGATACAGTGGAGTTATTAGAGGGCCTGTGGACATTTCCATTAGCAATGGAACCATCTGTGAACACTAACAAACCTTTCCTAGAAAAATCAAAGTGGGCTGAACAATCTGAGGGTATATGGTTGAGCTGTTGGAGAGAAAAAAGAATCATCAACAGAAATCTATAGAAAAACTGTTTCTAGTTATTAAATATATTTTGACCATTACATGTATAATTTGCACATTAAATATATACATGGGAAACAAATAAGGTAAAGATAGATCAATCTGTGTATTCATAAGGCTAGAAATTTTTTTAATTTAATATTACACAAAATGTTTAATAGTTTAAAATTTGTTCTTATTTCCTGCTTTCTACCACTACTTTGTACACTGACATCTTATTACACTTCACATATACAGATGCATCCAGTCATATAACAGTGTAAGGTACTAAACCTTTTTCCATTTATCTATACATTTCCATGTGGGGAACCACAAAAGATCCACAGGTAGTACATAACGATAATAATAACTGTACTTATTGAGTGCTTGCTATGAGTAAGTACTGTACCGGGATGATTACAGGTATTATCACTTAATTCTTACAACAGTCTGATGAGATATCATTATCCCATTTTGTGAGCATAAAAACTAAGGCACACAAGGGCTAAGTAACTTACTCAAGATTAGCAGTAAGTGACTCGTGGAGCCACTTAAACATTGGCAGAAAGAGGAGAATCATGTAATTAAATTATGTGGACATAATTTAAAATATCATTGGTATACAACTGCCAAAACAGTAGAATAAAGGTAACATTAAGAATAAATGTCAGTAGTGAAACCCCATCTCTATCAAAAATACAAAAATTAAATGGGCATGGTGGTGCACACTTGTAATTCCAAGTTACTTGGGAGGCTGAGGCAGGAGAATCGCTTGAACCCCACGGGTGGAGGCTACTGTGAGCCGAGATTGCACCACTGCACTCAGCCTGGATGATACAGCAAGACTCTGGCTCCAAAAAAAAAAAAAGAATAAATGTTAGGCCAGGTGTGATGGCTCACACCTGTAATCCCAGCCCTTGAGGAGATCAAGGTGGGAGGACCACTTCAGGCCAGGAGTTCAAGACCTAGGCAACATAGTGAGACCCTCATCTCAACAAAAAATACAAAAATTAGCTGGGCATGGTGTCACATGCCTGTAGTCCCAGCTACTTGGGAGGATGAAGTGGGAGGATTGCTTGAGCCCAGGATGTCGAGGCTACAATGATCCATGATCACACCATTGTACTCTAGCCCAGGCAAAGACTCTTGTCTCAAAAAAAAAAAAAAAAAAAAAAAAAGGAATGTTAATAAAACCTCAGAGAAAAAAATTTTTAAAAACCCTGGCTACAGGGATTACACAGTCCAATGCATAAAATATGACTGTGCATATAAGAACTGCAAACTATACAAATATAAAGAATTGCTATTAGGATAGGGTAGTTAGTTACATCCACTCTTAGTCCAACAAATGTGACAGATTTCTGCTGATCTTTGCCAATTTCAGTTGCTACCAGCAGCGTTCACTATTGTGATATTCTATGACCAAGAGAAATACAGAAAGCTAAACATTAATATAGGCAGTGCTAAAATTAGGGTATAAATTCTGGTCTAAAGAAAGCAATTCACAGAAAGACACACGTGTAGAGTTTAATCCTTAATTGGCTATAAATAAATCACTCACAAAAGACTTAATGGGCAAGCATTTTAGTTTATCAGCAAAAACCATTTTTTCCCAAATTTTGTAAATTTTCACTTAACTGTGATAAATTAGATCCAATTATGTTTTAAATTCTGCCCAAATTTCATCTATAGTATAGCTACTATTCAAGTTCAGCTTCCAGAACAGGTGATTTAAAAGTAATTTGCCAATTCTGACCCCAAAACAAAGAATCCAAGAAGAGAGTTAAAACAATTTCTGGTTCGATCTCAGCGCCAAAAAAACAAACAAAAAAATCCCACAACTACTAATTTGCACCCCTCTAAGAAGAGGTGATATGTGTCCCTTACTCAATAATGATGTATTAGAGCCTGCAGAGTCCAGATAGTGTGGTAAATGAGTAGAGGAAACACAATTATATATTTAAATACCAGGTATCCTGCTTCCAAGGAACTTTTAATCAGAATATGCATGAAAGACAATAAATATTTGATAATTAAGAGAAGCGTGACTATTGTGCTATAAGGGCATGATCACTTCTTGTTAGATAAAAGACTTCGGCAGGGCGAGTTGGCTCAGGCCAGGCCAAGCGAGGTGGCTCACGCCGGTAATCCCAGCACTTTGGGAGGCTGAGGTGGGCGGATCACGAGGTCAGGAGATAGAGACCAACCTGGCTAACACGGTGAAATCCTGTCTCTACTTAAAAAAAAAAAAAAAAAAAAAGACTTCACAAAGAAAATACGCCTGGGTGAGGTGGCTCATGCCCATATTCCCAGCACTTTGGAAGGCTGAGGTAGGAAGACTGCTTGAGGCCAATAGTATGAGACCAGCCTGGGCAACATAGGGAGACCCTGTCTCTATAAAAATTTTTTAAAATTAGCCCAACTGTGGTGGCACACACCTATCCCAGCTACTCTGGAAGCTGAGGTGGGAGCATTGCTTGAGCGTGGGAGGTCAAGGCTGCAATGAGCTAGGATCACAGCACTGCATTCCAGCCTCAGTGACAGAGAGAAACCTTGTCTCAAAATAAAAAGAAAATATATTTAACTTAAGCACTATTTTATAATTTTGAAGATGTTGAGAATTCTCAAAGCATCTGACCTTTACATATTTAAATAAGTACAAAAACCATATTCTAAAACCAAGCACAATTTTTTTTTTTTTTTTTTTTTTTTGAGAGACAGGGTCTCAACTCTGTCATCCAGGCTGGAGTGAAGTGGCATGACCATGGCTCACTGCAACCTGGAACCCCTGGGCTCACACAATCCTCCCACCTCAGACTCCTGAGTTGCTGGGACTACCGGTACACACCACCACGCCCAGCTGCGAAAGAAAAAATGGATTATCGACATTTCTAAATTGTCTATGCCAGTGCTACCCACAGGTTATAGGTTACAGGTCCCAATACAGCCTCTTTGCTGAACTGAGTCCTTAAAGATAATTTGTCTTTGTCTATCTCCTCTATCTTTCTTTGATGGTTTGAATATATTAATACATATATTAACATGAAACTGATGGGTAACTTACTTGTCCTTTCAGTTGCTTGATGGACTGCTGAAGTGTGAGTATCTGGTTGAAGAGAGGACTCTTTAGTGTCTCATAAAACACAGATAACTTCTCATTCTGTGATGTGTCACCCTTCTCCTGCAATTTCATTTTCAGGCGATCAAGTACCTGCAGGACCTGCAGTTTATCTTGGGTTAAGATGAATAAGTAGAGTAATAGTTAAGTCCCATCTGAGATTCCATTTTAAAATCATTAATTAATTAAATTATAGAACAATATATCCAGTATACCTGTAGCAGGATTTTCAGGCATTTTGAATTATTCCCTTCAATCACTCTTAAAGATACCTAAAGAAAAATTTAAAAATATAAAAGATGAATTTCAATTGTATATGGCTATAATCCTGTAGAAAAATTTAGGAAAACCTCAAGAACATTCTTTATCAAGACTCCACTCAGTGAAATTCAAATTATAACCACAATGAGGTGCCACTACACACCCATTAAGATAATTAAAATTTAAAAACAGACAATACTAAGCGTCGAGGCTGTAAGTGCCTGGAACTATTGTACATTGCTAAGAGAAATGTAAAATGTCACAACCACTTTGGAAAATTGGTAGTTTCTCATAAAGTTAAAAATACACTTACTATATGACCCAGCACTTCCACTCACAAATACTTACGCAGTATTCATGAAAATATATGCTCACAAAAACGCCTGTACATAGAAGTTTATAGCATTTTTATTTATAAAAACCCCAAAACTATAAAAACCCAAGTGTCTAGAAACAGATGAATAAACAAATGGTATATAATATTCAGAAATGAAAAGGAAAAATTACTGATACACACAACAAGGATAAATCTCAAAAATGGTATGTTGAAAAAAGAAACCTGACCCAAAAAAGTCACAAACTGCACTGTATGATTCCATTCATATGAAGTTCAAGTACTGACAAAACTAATCTACAATTATAGATAAATTTACCTGGGGCAGGGTGATAGGGAGTTGACCATGACAGGCTTCAGAACATACTACTCTCAAAATATGACACCTTGGCATGTTGCATATTTTAAGCTGAAGGAATCTGAGAAACAGCAAGTGCAGAAAGGACTTCCCCTGAAGCAGATCATAGGATCCTCGTGTGAGAGGTGTCCTCTCTATACCCAGAAGATAGCAGCATCTTAATCTCAAAAGACAGAGTGGCTAGGTGCAGTGACTCATGCCTATAATCCCAGCACTTTGGGAGGCCGAGGAAGGAGGATTACTTGCGCCCCAGAGTTTGAGGCCAGCTTGGGCAACACAGTAAGAGCCCATCTCTACAAAAAATTTAAAAACTCAGCCATGCATAGTGGCACATACCCGTAGTCCCCGCTGCTTAGGAGGCTGTGGCAGGAGGATCACTTGAGCCCAAGAGGATGAGGCCGCAGTGAGCTATGAGCCACTGCACTCCAGCCTGGGGAAAAGAGTGAGACCCTGTCTCAAAATTTAAAAATAGAAATAGAGGAACACCCAGAGGAATCTGAACAAACAGGCCTTGTTAAGTTTTTCCCAGTTTACTCCTCTTAGCTCATATCCCTTTCTGTCCTATCACATTCCACAACTCTTCCTTCTTCATCAAACCTAACTTAAAAACACTCAGGTTTTACTGTTTCTTCGGGTCATTTCCTTATGAAGGCTCCCATGTCATGTAAAACTTACATTAAACAAGTTTACATGTTTTTCTCTTGTTAATCTACCTTTTATTACAGGGGCCCCAACCGAAAACTTGGAAGGGTAGAAGCTATTTTCCCTCCCCTACACTGGGAAGGGGTTCAAGGAAGCTTTTTTGGCGTGACGGAAACATTCTGTGTCTTGAAGTGGGTACTGTTTACACAGATGTATATATTTATCAAAATTTATTGAACCAGGCCAGGCACAGTGGCTCACTGTGATCCCAGCACTTTAGGAAGTCAAGGTGGAAGGATCACTTGAAGCCAGGAGTTTGAGATCAGCCTGGGCAACAAAGTGAAACCTCATCTCTACAAAAACAAAAAAAATTAGCCGATGTGGTGGCTTGTACCTATAATCCCAGCTACACTGGAGACTGAGGTGAGAGGATCGCTTGAGCCCAGGAGGTCAAGGTTGCAGTGAGCCATGATCATGCCACTGCACTCTGGCCCGGGTGACAAAGGGAGACCCCATCTCAACAAAAAATAAAAGAAAAATTCCCGAGCTGTACAAATGATCTCAGACTTTTACTAGCCATCTATAGCTCAAAAGAAATTACAGGTATGCTGCGGCTCACACCTGTAATCCCACACTTGGAGAGATCGAGGTGGGTGGATCACCTGAGGTCAGGAATTCAAGACCAGCCTGGCCAACACAGAGAAACCCTGTCTCTACTAAAAATACAAAAATTAGTCAGGCGTGGTGGCGCTCGCCTGTAATTCCAGCTACTCGGGAGGCTGAGGCAGGGGAACTGCTTGAATCTGGGCGGTGGAGGTTGCAGTGAGCCGAGATCATGCCATTACACTCCAGCCTAGGAAATAGAACCAGACTCTTTTTCCAAAAAAAAAAAAAAAAGAAAAAGAAAAAGAAAAAAGAAACCACTCAAAGTGGCATTCTCTATGGATAATGTTTCCTTAATTCTAGTGATTTGATGAAATTAACCTAAAATGTAACATAATTAAAAACTCAAAAGGCTAGCAAAACCCTTTACTATGTATGACCAAAATGAGACATTTTCAGTGATTTTTACTAGTGATACACACTTGTAATGAACCATCAAAGAAATATGAGTATTATACAATCAAAATTTTCTCACATCAACCTGGATATGGTGGCTGAATGAGATCTTTATCTTCTAATTCGAGATCATTGAGCAAAAAAGCATATTGAAAACCAATAAAGGATGCCATTGGCATTGATAAAAGGTCTAAGTATTCCATCCAAATGTTCACTGGATTCAATGGGAATACCAAAAGAAGTGCTGAATAGAACATCAAAGAAATACTTCTGATGCGCTCAGCATCTCCACTGTACAACTCATACAACTACCCAGCGAGAGGTAACTGTGAATAACAGAAGGGCAGTCATGACAGCACTGTACTCTCATATAGCAGCATACAGCCCAACAGGACTGACAGGAGCGGTCTGCTGGTCATCAACACATCAACCTCTCCAAATCAAAGAATGCAAACTAAAACAATAAGATGACATTTTATTTACTGCCAAATCTCAACTGACATTTATTGATTTTGACATTTATTGATTTATTAGAGAAAATAATAGTTTATACTCCAAATGTCATGAAAAAATAGGTGGAAATAAAAATTTGCACAATGTATACTGACACTGCTAAGTTGTCCTAAAAGAGTGTGTAGTTTTTACTTCTGAGTGTCACTCTGAAAGAAATACTGGCAAAGGGGCACAAAGATGTGTGTGCAAGGGTATTTACTGCATTTTTAATAGCAAAACTCCTGGAAAAAGTAAATTATCAAAAGCAATCAGCCCGGGCACTGTGGCTCACGCCAGTAATCCCATCACTTTGGGAGGCCAAGGTAGGCAGATCACTTGAGGTCAGGAGCTGGAGAATAGCCTGACCAACATGGTGAAACCCCATCTACTAAAAACACAAAAATTTGCTGGGCGTGGTGGCAGGCACCTATGATCCCAGCTACTTGGGAGGCTGAGGCAAGAGAATCACTTGAACCCAGGAGGTGGAGGTTTCAGTGAGCTGGGATCGTGTCACTGCACTCCAGCCTGGGCGACAGAGCGAGACTTTGTCTCAAAAAAAAAAAAACCAAAAAACAAACAAACAAAAAAACAGCAATTAAAATGATGAAATAGGTCTGAATGTATTGAAAAGGGAATGAGGGGGAAAGGGTTAACAGCAAGCCTGTGACTCACTCGTTTAGCTGCAGGGGTGTCCAATCTTTTGGCTTCCCTGGGCCACACTGGAAGAGGAGGACTGTCTTGGGCTACACATAAAATACACTAACGATAGCTGATGAGCTTTAAAAAAAAAAAAAAAAAACTCATAATGTTTTAAGAAAGTTTATGAATTTGTGTCAGGCTGCATTCAAAGCCGTCCTGGGTTGGACAAGCTTGGGGGATTCTCTGCACGACAGCTGACTTCCTAGTAAACATGATAAAGGTTTATAATAGATAAGAAAGGGTCTCTTATTTTAAAATATCAGGATAGATCTGGTCTCCCTTAACTGCCTTCTGTAAATAATCTGAGAATTTATGGATGTTTGGGGCATGGCTAGCCGGAAAACAGGAGATAATCACAGGCATTTTCTATTTGTGTAACTAAGAGAATAGAGAACTAGAGATTCCCCTTAGCAGGTTCAGTGGCTTTGGAGGCTGAGGCCAGAGAATTGCTTGAACCCAGAAGTTCGAGGCTATAGTGAGCTATGATTATGCCACTGTACTCCAGCCTGGGTGACAGAGGGAGACACTGACTCTTTAAAAAACAACAACAAAAACTAGAGATTCCCAAAACAGAAAAGGCTTCTTTAGGAAAAACATTTGTTAATCCAAAGCAAAAAAATGTGTCCCGAGGTTGAATTTTACTTCTGTAAACAAATTAAGAACTACAGTAGGGCTGGGCGTGGTGGCCCTACTGTAATCCCAGCACTTTGGGAGGCCGAGGTGGGCGGATCACTCAAGATTACGAGTTTGAGACCAGCCTGGCCAACTTGGTGAAACCCTGTTTCTACTAAAAGTACAAAAATCAGCTGGGCGTGGTGGTGGGTGCCTGAAATCTCAGCTATTCGGGAGGCTGAGGCAGGAGAATTGTTTGAACCCAGAAGGCAGAGGTTGCAGCAAGCCAAGATTGTGCCACTGCACTCCAGCCTGGGCGACAAGAGCAAAACTTCATCTCAAAAAAAAAAAAAAAAAAAAAAACACTACAGTAAGCCTATCATAAATACATGAAGAAGTGACTTCATATCAGTCATATATAACTGTTTTCAGTATGTTGATAATATGTCCGAATGTAGAAGAAAGTGAAATTTTTTGGAAGTTGTGCCTGCTGGCTGGGGGCTCCTCCAGGAAGGAATGCTCATCTGTGTCTGGCTTCTGCCTCTAACCTCTGAATCATGAGTAAGGTTTGGAGTTGGGTAAGATTTCACATTCATATGAAGATGCTTTGACAATTCAGCCCTTTGCATTAACACAGAGAAGTTATCCAATATGCACAACTGAATGAGGAAAACAGAGTTTCAGAATGAGTGCATTATTTTCACGTTTGTAAGAAAAAAAAAATGTGTGTGTGTAGGTTTCTAGAAGAAGAGTTAAACCAAGCATGCTGGCATGTGCCTATAATCCCAGCTACTCAGGAGGCTGAGGTGGGAGGA